GAATCTTGAAATTCATAGGCAAATGGATGGAACTAAAAGAAACCATCCTGAGTAAGGTAACCCAGTCGCAAAAAGACAAAAATAGTATGTATTCACTCATATATGGATTTTAGACATAGCGCAAAGGAGTACCAGCCTACAATCCATACCACCAGAGAAGCTAGGAAACAAGGAGGACTCTAAGAGATACATGCATTCCCCCCCACCCCCCAGAGAGCATACATGGTATCCCGGACAAGGGAAAAGGAACAAGATCTCCTGAGCAAATTGGGAGCATGGGGGGAAGGGAGAGGGATCTAGAAGAAAGAGAGGGGGAGAACAGGAGGGGAGAGGAGGACATGCGTGAGCATGAAAATTTAGTCAGGGGAAGAATTGAGGAGAGCAAGAAAAGAGATAACACAATAGAGGGACCCATTATAGGTTTAAAGAGAATACTGGCACTAGGGAAATGTCCAGAGATCTGCAAGTCTGACCCCAACTAACAATCTAAGCAGTGACTGAGAGGCTACCTTAAATGCCCTTCTCCAATAATGAGACTGATGACTACCTTATATGCCATCCTAGAGCCTTCATCCAGTAGCTGATACAAGCAGAAGCAGACACCCACAGCTAAAAGCTGAGCTGAACTCCTGACTGAGCTGAACTCCTGGAATCCAGTTGCATAGAGGGAGGAGTGATAAGCAAAGGGGTCAGAACCAGAGTGGAGAAACCCACAGGGACAGGTGACATGAAGAAGGGGTTTCTCATGGACCCCAGACTGATAACTGAGAAACCAGCTGGGTTCCAGACCCCCTGAGCAAGGATGTCAGTTAGGAGGCCTGGGTAATCTATGTGGCCTCTGGTAGTGGATCAGTATTTATCCCTAATGTATGAATGGAATTTGGGAATAGAGGGATACTCACTCTCTCAGCCTAGACATTCAGGGGAGGGTGTAGGCCCTGCTCCAAATGATATGACAGACTTAGAAGATCCCCCATGAAAGGCCTCGCCCTCCTTGTGGAGTAGAATACAATTGGGATGGGGGGGGCAGGGAATGAGGGGAGGGAGAGGGAACTGGGATTGACATGTAAAAGAAGCTTGTTTCTAATAAAAAATGATTCAGCATGGGTGCCACTTATTGGGAGTTTTTTTTTTTAACCTTTCTTTCATTAGATGAATTTCATGGATTTTTCAAAAAAATCCATTTTTTCACACGGATTTATAATCTATAAAATCACCTGGCACTCTGGTAAACTGAGTTTCTTTTTAGTCATTATACTATGGTTTTCCTGAGGACAAGGGCAGGAAGCATAGCTGGTTCGTTATCACTGTGTCACCATAATGCAGCATAGTCCTGGCTCATTGATGGTATTTAGTGTGTTTACATTATCCTGAATAAATTAGTAATATGAATAAAATATACAACATATCCAGAAGAGTAAAAATTTAGTTAGGCAGAAGTCAAGAATTGAATTGAACAGCCTGGAAGATATGTACACTTTGATAAGGCAGGAGACAAGACTGGGTATGGGTATGTTCATGTGTACATGGGTGCTTGTATGTGTGTGTGGAGGTCAGATGTCAATGCTGAGTGTCTTCCTCAATTGCCCTCTACCTTGTTAATTGAACTAGGGTTTCTCAAATGACTTGGAGCTTGATTCAGCTAGAATAGCTGGCCAGCAAGTACCAAGGATCCTCCTATCTCTGCCTCTCCTTGTGTGACCCTGTCCATGTGTTTTGGGAAGTCAGGTTCTCATGCTTTGGCAGCAAATACTTCACCAACTGAACCAACTCTAGCTCTCAGAAGAGATTTTTAAATTCAGACATGGCTATAAAATGGAGATAGGATAGTGTTAGCAAGATAGTGTTAGCAATATTCATTGCTGTACTAGTTTATGTGACCTTGTTTCACCACGGAACGGAGCATAGGATATGGGCAAGAGTTGAAGTGAGTGCCAGTATCATTAGCATTAACAATATTATTATAACAGTGTGACCGAATGCATGTCAATAACTAACTTGGGTAAAGTCACTTAACCTTTTCTATTATTGTAATACTAAGGTGTTAAAACAGTCCTTTAGAGTCCTAGAATATGTGGTCTCTAAAAGTGGGGTTGACATAGGTTTCTGGGAATAGGGAGAGCCTTGGGTACTAAATTAGAAATGTTGCCTTGTATGTATGTATGTATGTATGTATGTATGTATGTATGTATGTTACTGATAATGGGTAGGTGATGATGTCCTAAAGATTCTAAGGCAGAGGAAAATCTCCAATGTAGAGGAGAGTTTCCAAGGCAAGAAGCATAGGGACTTCCTGAGTGAATCAACTGAGAAAATCTGAATGGTTTATAGACATGAAATGACACAATAAAGACCTCGGTTTGGCCTCATGGGGGAACATTAGTAGGTAAAGCAGCTAAGAGATCATAAGTGGGGTTTCTAGAGAAGTATTGAAGAACAGCAGAGCCTAATTTTTATTTTCACTTGTAAATACAAGACATTACCTACTAGATGTGACCATTGGACCAATGAGATGGTTCATCAGATAAGGGCACGTGAACTAAACCTGATGATTTTAGTTTAATTCCCTGAACCCCAACACTAGAAGAACCAACTCCTAAAAGTTGTCTTTTGACTTTGACACTAATGTTGACCCTGTATGAGGGGATGGTCTCCATTTTCACTAACCTGATGCACACAGACGTTACACTTATCACAGAATACCATATCATTCCCCTCTTCACTGTCTGGAGACTGGCACACATCACAGATCACATCTTCATCATACTCTATTCCTAGTCCTTCTTCTCAATAGCATGGTTCATATTTTCATGGCAGTGGCATTCCAGAACCTCTATTGTCTTTTCCATAAGAGTCTCATTGATCATCGATTGGCCCATAACCTGCACAAAAATAAAAACAATCAACCATCATTATCTGTCCGCTGTCATTGCCAAATCATCTACTGCAGGGGTAGGTAGGGTGCTAAAGGATAAACCCATCTTTTTTCTGGTCTAAAGCAACTAGACTTCAAAGACCTTTTTTTTTTTTTTCCGGAAACAGTGTTCCTCTGTGTAGCCTTGGCTGTTCTGGGACTTGATCTGTAGACCACACTGGCCTCGAACTAACAGATGGCCTCGATCCATTTGCCTCTGCCTCCTGAGTGCTGGGATTAAAGGTATGTGCCATCACCGTCCAGCAGTAATTTTTTTTACAAGAGAAATTCTAACACTTATCAATTACAAGAAAATTAGTGTTTGACACATTAATGAAGAAATACATTTTAGCACATTTTCTTAAAACATTATAGACCCTTTCATTTTAAAAAAAACAAATAACTAAATCCTAGTCAGTGGATAAAGGCACTTGCTGCTAAGTCTGATGACCTGATTTTCATCCCTGGGACCCTCTTGGTAGATGCAGAGAATCTACTCTTGAAAGTTCTCTTCCACACACATGCATATGAGATATGTTATATGGCTACCCCTTCACACAAATAAATATAAAATTAAAAATAAATCCTAGTCAGTCTCCTGATAAAATATTAATTGATTTTCTCTTAGTCATACTAATAGGACTTTCACAAAAAGTGTAACTTTGTACATTTTAATTTGTAGCATTTAAATCTCTTACCTCTTTGAACACAAATAGTGTTATTATTAGTAACATAACTTCACTAAGAACACCTAGTGGTTATACCAGGAACTTTTTATATAATAATGTATTTACCCATAAAATCCTGCCTCTGCCTCCCGAGTGCTGGGATTAAAGGCGTGTGCCACCAACGCCCAGCTCAAACCTGATTTTTTAATAGCAGCAAAAACTATTTTTCAATGATAAGCAGTAATAGAAACCTCTTAACAGTCACAAAGATTTAAATATAATTCTGAAATCACCTCTTTTCATTCTGATTTCTTTTTCTTTTTATACTTTTCTCTCCTCACCTTCCACTCTTAACCTAACTGAAAGATTCATAGGGCTGATGTTGTTAAAAACAATTATTTTTCTTCTTAAGAGGATCAATGATTTCTTTGGACATTATTTATTCTTAGAAACTAAGGAATAATTTTCAAAATGATCCAAAATATATTTAATATTTGTAATGTAAGACACCATAAAGAACTTTTAAATCTATATTAATTACCTTTTAAAATTTTATCTACTTATGAAGCAAAACGCTTACTCAGGCTTATTTTTCAGCCTAGACATATCATATACACACACATACACTTACTTACATACACATATATGTATATATTAGATACACACATATAGGTATGTAGGAACAGAGAGTATAGTGTCTAGTCTGGATATATCCCCAAAGAATTCTATATTTCATCACACAAATATTTGCATATCCATGTTTTTTACTGTTGCTCTATTGACAATAGCAAGGAAATGGAATCAGCCTAAATAAAATGCCAAACTGATGAATGGATGATAAAAATATAGTACATATATACAATAGAACTTTATTAAGTCATAAAGAAAAATGAATATCACAGAAAAATGGACATAACTGGAAAGTATTATATTAAGTGTAGTAAACTTGTGTCAGAAAAATAAACTCCATGTTTTCACTCATATGTGGAGCCTAGAGATAATTTTTTGGTGTTTTTTTGAGACAGGGTTTCTCTATATTGTTTTGGAGGCTGTCCTGGAACTCGCTCTGTAGACCAGGCTGGCCTTGAACTCATAGAGATCCTCCTGCCTCTGCCTCCTTAGTGCTGGGACTAAAGGTTGTATCACCAAAGCCCGGCAAGCTAATTTTAATATATTTATATTTATGTGACAGTGATTATGTGTAGAGTTCAGTTATTTCTCCCTGTAAACCTTTTCAGATACCTTCCCCATTTTCCTTCAAATCCATAGTTTTTTTACATTAATTGTTGTTCCATGGATATATCTATATACATATATGCTCCTAAATATAACTCTGTTCAATCTGTATAATATTACATTTATTTATGTTTTGTGGTTAACCATCTGGTACTGCATAACCAACTATTGTGCTTTTCTCTATTTCTCTTGCTCTCAGCATTCCTTAGTTGCCTGTAGTTTTTGTGTTGTTTCATGTGAGCATGGCACAATAACCCTAAGGATGCAACAGTTACCTTGGCAGTAACCAATAGCTCTCTAATTGAACTTAAAGCCCACTTAACAAGAGGGAAACAATACTGGAAATTTAGATAACTCAGTGCAAGCAAAGTCATGGATATTGAAGGAGAACCTAGAACCACTACTTTATTAAAACAGTACAATCCCTAGCTACATTATAAACATTGTCCTTATATCCATAGGTAAGTGTAGACTTTACCCTTCATCAAGGAAACTTGTCTTTGAAACAGATAGAGACCACCACAGAAAACCATAACCAATCAAAATGCAGAGTTGTGGAGCTCAGTCTCAACTGATATATATACAAAACATGTCCACTAAGGCTCAGGGAACATTATAGATGAGGGAGCAGAATGATTGTAACAGCAAGAAGACCAGGGAGTTTGTTGTGAGATTGTTGTGTCTCTTAGTGATGTCAGAAGCTACACACATAAAATCTCATCAACATGATTACTTAAATGTGAGCTGAACAAGGACGACCCTACTATTTATTCTAAGAAAATGTAAATGTATTGTGTGTTCTTGACCTAATGGTCACCAAGTGTATTTAGAAGGGAAAAACCTGGTAATGAATGTTATCTGCACAAAGTTATGCTTAAACATACACCTCAGTAAAAACCATGACTTTTTTCCATGGATAGAGTTGGCAGTTGATAATTGGTAGTGCAGAGCACAGGTTTTAGACTCACACAAACTTTTTTTTCTGTCATTCATTTGTAAAGTGTTCCTGAAAATTACTTAATTTAGGTAAGGTTCAGTTTCCTTTGTCAAAAAGCAGGGACAATAATAATAAACTATTAAAATAACACCAAACTGGTAAGATTAGTATGCTTACATGAAATAAAGTCTTTAGTATGGTATATAATAAAAACAGGTTTTAGGAACATTAGTGTTATATTTCTTACTACTTTCGCTATGCAAATGAGATGAAGTCAAGAGATAATAGAGTTGTACAAACTCAAGGTATTTCTCAACCATATATGAGAGCGGCTATAGGTCTGAGCCAGGACTACATGATGGAATCAACGATTCCTATTACTGCATCAACTTTTGTAGTGAGCTTGAGCAAATCCATAGCTCTCCTGATACCTAAGAACCCAAGGTAAGAAAACCAATCAGGGGAAGAAATGGAAAATTTTATGTCTATAACTTATTCTATACTTGATGGTTTAAGTACCAGATGAGGCATCAGAAAATATAACCAAGAGGAAATCTGGATTATTATTTCCTGGCAATTTTAAAGAACAGTGTGGGAGAGAGAGAGAGAGAAGACACATTCATGTTATCATAAAATAATGAAAACCATTCCTCTGGAAGAATTTGAGAGTTAATTTAATTCTAGAGTCATCATATACAGGACGATTAATAAACTTATCAATACATGTACTATATACATAGTTGACCATGCAAATGTAGAAAGTACATATTTTCTTCTAAGCATTATTCCCAAAGCCTGTGATTCCAAGGAATTATTTTGAATAGCTAATAACTATACATATTTGTATATTAAAATTCTTCTACCATATAGAGATTCAAAAACAAAAACAATAAATATTTGAGGAAAATGCAGAAATTTTAAGAATTGAAGCTAAAATTTTGGGAACTGTATTCAGAGGCCTGCTTCCAACTGAAAATGACAAAATACATGTTCTCCATAGATTTCAAGATCAATATACAGCACTTCTTTGGTGCATGGCCTCACAAGGCAATTACTGACTATTTGATTTTTTTCAAGGTATCTTTTTCTAAAAAAAGACTTTATAGCTAATGATTCATTTCAAGTGCTTTAAATTATGCAAGGTAAAAGGTAGATTATAAATTTCCTTGAATGAACCTTATACTTATAAAGCTTCTGGAAGAACACAAAGGAGAATATATTTATATCATCAGGGTAGGGAAAGATATTTTAAATGAAACATAAATGCCACCAAACACAAAAGTAAAAGAATGAAAAAAGACACATACTAAAACTCTGGTTATTAAAAGTGTGAAAAAGCAATTCATCGGGTAGACAATATTTACAATTAAAGATAGACAAAGAACCCAATTAAAAAACTAGGCAAAATATTTATGCAGACACTTCATAAATAAGGCTACCTCTTATGGAAAATAAGCAATTAAAAGGCTCTTACCCTCACTAGCTACAATAGATATTGAAATCATAATCACTGTTATCTATCAGAATGGCTAATATTTAAAAGACTGACCCCAAATTTGCCTATGAAGGTCTAAGAGATGGTAAGAAAGAGAAGCAAATATATCTATTATTATACTTCTGGCTTGGGCATGAATTGATATAAGCCACTCTGGCAGCAAATATTATGGGTATAAAGTATATATAGAATATGAATAGATATGTGTCCTATGACCTAGCAAATATACTCCTAGGTATGTATTTAATAAAAATGTATGGACATGAGTGTAAAAAGGTTCAGTTTCTGCAATTGCTAGAAACAATTTAAATGTCTATTAAAGGTGAATGGATAAAATGTGGCATATTCACACAATGAAATATGATGCATGTGTGAAAATTAATGAACTATTTCATGCAACAGCATGGAAGGATCAAAAAATCATAATGATGAACAAAACAATCCAGTCTCAAATGAATACATACTATAGGAGTTTATTTATATGAAGTTCAAAAACTGGCAAAACTGTTACCTACAGTTAGGGAGGTCTGTTA